CAGTTATGTCTTAATGAAATCAATTAGGCAAAAATTTGTGTCTCTAGAAGACTCACGTACCTTCATGGCCATCTTCCTCTGTGTGGAGTAGAGCCGAGAAATCTTCATTAAGGATGTCCAGGAAGAAGTCTGCAGGGTTGTTGTGGGAAACATAGTTGCAACCTACAAAGAAGGTAGACCATGAACACAAACGTGAGGACCTTCTGTTAGAGAGTGAGAAGGGGGGTGGTGGAGACAGAATCTAAGAATTTCTTCCTCTTTTTGACCCTCCCCTCAGCTAACTTGTCCTCTTTTATTATGTATCACTCATAATATTTCAGTACTTTATGCTTCACACCCTATTGTATACATATGTGTGTTTATATTAGTGCTATACACACATTCACAATCCACATATATAATACACAGACATAGACAGAGTAAACATAACCTAGACATAAACATACACATAGACTAGACCTAGACATGGAAATAGAGTAGACATAGATCTGGTCATAGAGGTAGACTAAACATGGGCAGAGAATAGACATAGACTAGATATAGACATATGATCTCTTTCTGTGAAAAAATCATTTGAACTTGGCCTAAATTTTTATTGGACTCCATAGACTCACAATTACCCACACAACTTTAAATGACAACAAATATTTAAACCTATATTTGTAGTCAAAGAGAATCATCCATAACTATATCCATATTTTCAAAGATGAAACTCATGGCATAAACCATTAAAATGTGCCATCATCTAATCTGACTGTGAAAAAAACAGGCAGACAAAAAACATGAGTCCACAGAAGCCAGACCTGCACCACTGCTGTCCCCAAGCATTGCCTAAAACTGAAATGCAAAGTTAATACTAAATTAAGGAATATCTCCAAAGTTCCTCAGAGTCAGGTCACACTAGGAGAAAACTGAAAACCACCATCTGCTACATGAGCAAGAACATGCTGGATGCTGGGCCCTTCCAAAGCCGTTCAAGAGACAGATTACTGGACCTGAGCCCAGCATGTTAATTAAGTGGGTCACCACAACTGGGAAACAGAAAAAGAGGTTCAGTAAAAATCCTGTACACAGGCATGATACAGGACAGGAGAAAGGAAGAGACCTGCACAACAAGCCTGTGCTACACAAGCAACAGATTCCTGTTACCAAATTAAACAAAAGTATTATTTAAAATGTAGAAGCCCACACACAGTAAGTCTGCAAAGCAGCATTCCTGAGAACTCCTGTTCTCTGCCCAGATCCCATGATGGAAGGCGCTCTCACAGCAAAAGCCAGCCATACCTGTGGATTTGAAGTACCCCAAAGCCTCCTGCGCAGGCCCGTGAAACATGACTTTTCCTGAGGCCACTAAGGTGAGGCTGTCAAACAGCCTGAAGATGGAGTAGTGGGGCCGATCAATGGAGAAGATGATGGTCCGTCTCCTCCTAGACATCCTAAGTTCAAAGAGGGAAAATCATAAGTCACTGGATAGGGGAACCTTGAGATTTTCACAAAATTTTTTGTTCCTGAAGTTATAAACTAGGTTCCCATTTCAGCTTGAATTTTTCTTAAAAACACCTTGTCTCACTTGTGTTGTGTATGTGACAGCAAAACCAAGCTAAAGCTCTTATTTAAAAGTCTAAGACTTCTAACATGTGGGACGTCAGTAGTGCACACAAGTATTACCACGTTGATCCCTGTGCTGTCTTCTCAGACACTGAATCAGAATATCTGGGAGTCAGTGCAGGGAATCCATATCACGAGAAGGCAGCCCTCGTGATTGACAGGTTCACTCAAGCTTGAGAAGCACTGACAGAGCAAACATTACAGCTGTGACTGTAAGCACAACTCCCCTCAATTGCTCACACTTTCTGTCTCTTCAGGAATTGGTGCTCACTGTTCTGATGATGTGACTCACATTCCTAACTAATTGCTCTCCCGCTAAATACCGCAGTAATAATCTCATTTAAATTTTCACAATATCGGCATAAGGCAATTCTAATATAATTTCTCCCTTTCTGCTGATAAGGCTTAGAAGGTCAAGCAACAGACCAAGGGGTCACAGTTAGTGAGGTGCAAACCTAGGATTTGAGTATTGGTTTAATTCTATAGCATGAAAATAACAGCTGAATGAGCATTTCAAGAAGTCATATCTTCTATTAGAAGGATCAATAAACAAAAACAGTGCTTAAAACTGCTATGAAAATATTTCTATAATAGCTGGGTATGGTAGCATATCTGTAATATCCAGGCACTAGGGAGGATTCATAATTTTAGGCATGCCTAAGTTATATGAGACCCCATTTCAAAAGAAAAAACAGAAAGATTCAATGAAATAGAGGGAGAAGGGAGGAAGGGAGGGAGGGAGGAAGAACACAATGAAGGAATGGAGAGAAGATGAGAAAGAAGATGGGAGGGAGGGAGGGCGCGCGGGAGGGAGGGAGGGAGGGAGGGAGGAAGGAAAAGATGAGGTAAAGAATGGATAAAGAGAGCAAGAGAGCTGGGCATGGTAGCACATATCTTGAATTCTAAAAGGACGACTGGTTGTAGAGACAAGGGCAGAATAATGGGCATACTAACTGATTGTTTTTTCTGAGAGATGATTAATAAACCACAAAAGGAAAACAGCAACTTCATATAATATAACCCACGAACCACCAGCATCAGTACATGGTCAAGATTCAAGACAGGCAAGCAACATGGCTCAGTGGGTAAAGGAACTTGATACCAAGTCTAAAGATCTAAGTTGAGTCCCCAGAATACACTTGGTCAAATAAGAAAGCCAACTCCTTGAGTTGTCCTCTAACCTCTACAGACAGGCTACACAGGTACACATGCACACACACTCACACTAAACAACTCAAACACTCATATAATAGAAACATTTGAAAAAAGTATTTTACAACTAGAGTGTACTTCCATGAGTGTTCAGAGCATTGAGAACACAGCATGTCAGGACCTGTGTCCGTTCCCACAACAATGGGATAAATCACACTTGGGATGACCCCATGCAATGCACTAAGCCTAGCCATGGCATAAGACACAGGGACAGAGAGAAGTGTTCCATACTGAAAAATGAGCAAGAATCTTAGCGTATCCTGATCTTAGAGTATCCTGAAGATGACTGGAAAAGGGGTGGCTGGGGAAGGTGGTGATACCTGAGGAATCTACAGTCTAGAAGGTGGCAAGGCCCCAGTTGTTGACTTCCTAACTGGAAGATACAATGAGTGAGTGATTTTGGTTCTTGGAGGGACAGGAAACAGTATTTAGGGTAATGGACCATGATGTCAGAACAAAGCAAAGAACAAGGGGAAGAAAGAAAAGATAGACAATGCAGTAAAGTTCAACAGCCAGGACCCTAGGTCAGGGGAATGGGATAGTTCTTATATAGTTCTTGGGGTTATTCAATCAGTTTGAAACTCTATTAATCTTTAAAATGTACAAAACCCAATCTTTACACTTTATTCTATTAATATTTTAGTCACAGACATCTTTCTGGAAAGAAGGAAATGAATTCCTTTTACTTCATTCTTCCCAGGTTAGGACCCAGACCTTAGCAATCATTCCCTCAGCCATCACATCCAGGTCTAAACGCAGAGATAATACTCTTTATTCTATATATGAAGTTACTCAGAAGCCAACATTCCTAGCAATGGAACCCCCACATCTCAGCCTTCAGCTGACATCGTTACATTCCCATAGTGTTGTGTCTTTGTAGTTCTCACTCAACCATGATGCAGCTGCAAAACCTTCTCCATGATTCCTTGAACTGTTCCAAACTTATAAGCTTCTCACATCATCTGCCATGGAGAAACAATGTGATTATGTTGTTTTTTGAGACAGGGTCTGATCCTGAAAATGTAACATATAATTGTTCAGAGTTTGGGTGTGTGGGGAGGCTATATAGAGCCATGTGGAGGAACAAGAGATATTTTTTTCAGAGAGGATTTTAAAAGATGAAGGAAAAGTTACCATGAGAAAGCTTATGTGTTTTCTTATTTTTCCCCTCAGATGGACTCATAGTCCTCTCCACATTCATGGAATTTTTTCATACCCTGGTGTATGAAAATGCCATCACCCCCAGTCAGCATTACCTCTGAATCTCCTGCATCAAAAATACACACGTTTGATCAGGCATTGAGTCAATAAAAGTTAAGATTCCTTCAGCACTTACCTTCTCAGGACGGAGATGACATCAGTAATAGTGCTCAAGTCTAAGTCAGTAGTGGGGTCATCCAAGAACAAAATGGGATGCTCAGCAACCAGCTCCATTGCTAAACTTGTCTTTTTCTCAAGCTCTTTAGACCTAGGCTAAAGCACCAACAACCACCATTACCAACAAGAACACCAACAGTCATTGTCGTTTGCTGAACAAGCCTGTTTCAGCAGTAAAATATTTTGTTACAGTATTATCCTGATGAGCAAAATATGTGCACCTGAGAGAAGAAAGGAGTTTTTCTTTTCCAAATGAATAGAAAGACTCAGGTCAGACTTTACATGAAGCCTGTGCTAATCTCTGTCTAAAGAACAAGGAAGATGGGACAGGAGAAGAGGAAGTATCTGTAGTGATTTAGTCACCATTTCATACCCTTCCAACACACCTAGGACAAAGGCACTCTACACAACATAAAAACAACACAACATCATATACATACTACACAACACACATACAAATACATATAATACACAATACACACAGGACACAATATGCTGACACACAGGCATGCACACAAAACAACACACTGACTTACAGTCACAGAGAGAAACACACTTCAAAACACGTACAGACGCACGAGCAACAAGCACACAATACAACACGCATAATAAATACACACACACTGCTTTTAATAAAAAATTCCACGTTGCCTTATTAAGATCTTTTTTAACTCCCTTAAGACTTTTGTGAATTGACATTTTTACACTGTACAAGATCACAGAATTCATGATTCATCCTTGTAGGCAAATCCAAAAGGTCGTATAGTCTACAGGTCAAACTGGAACAGTCTTGGTACCAGCCAGTGTCATTGTGTAAGGTGAGAGGGAATAGTAAGGTTTATGGGAACACAGAACTAGGGAAAAATTATCACCAAACATGATAACCAAAATCATGATCAAGCCCTACTGACAACATACAACAAAGGATGTTTAGGGAATAAGGATGAGTGTGGTCATGACAAGGCTGAGGTTATAAAGGAATAAATCACTTTGATAGTTAAGATTAGAGTTTCTAGGTAAGTAGATGCTCTTATTTTTATGGATGAAAAGTAAGTACTCAGGAGTAAGGAATTACCTAATGTTCTGTTAAAATGCTGCAGTGAGGAACAGCTTTAGTGCGTATGCTGTTGTAAACACCAAGAACCCCAGGAGACCGGTATTAGCAAGTGTACTAATGTACTGGCTATATAACAGTCAATCTTTTACAAAAACCACATACTGCCTCTACATTTCTTAAATCAAAATCTTGTGAAAGACTGAAGAGAAGTCTTAGCAGGGAAAAGCACTTGCCCCATAAGCCTGAAGCCCAGGTTCAATCCCTGGAACTAGCATATAAAGCATGAGATGGGACATAGACCAGGGCATCAGGCTTGTGTGTAGGGCTTCAGCAGAATAAGGCAAAAAAGGCAGGAGGAGAGAATAGACCTGTGACAAAGATGTGTTATGACAACCACATATGTTGTCATAACACACACACTCACACACAAATATTGAGGAATTTTTTGGTTCAGGTAGAAACCTGATGCATCAGAAACTCCATTGAATCTACAAGGGTAACCCCAGCTAAGATTCCTGGTAATAGTGGATAGGTAGCCTAAACTGACCATCTCATGTGATCAGATTGGTGACCTCCCCAGCTGTTATTGGAGGGTGTACATTCACTAATTAATGGAAAGAGATGCAGAAATAAATAGCCAAGCACTGGGTCAATCCTGGAGAATCCTGTTGAGAACAGGGAGGAATGATTATATGAGCCAGGTGGTCAGGATCATCACAAGAGAACTCACAGAAGCAACTGGGCTGCTCATGGGAGCTCACAGACTATGGACCAATGGCTAGGGAGCATTCATGGGATCAGTCTAGGTCATCTGCATATATATAATGGTTGTGAGGGTTGGTCTGCTTGTGTGGGACTCCTGGTAGTGGGGGAGTCAGGCTTGTCCCTAATATTTTGGCTAGGTTTTAGGAACATGTACCTAATGCTAGATTGTCTTGCCCAGCTTTAATATAAAGAGAGGAGCTAATCCGACCTCAACCTGATATGCCATGTTTTGTTGACACCCATAGAGACCTGCAATTTCTGAACAGAGGTGGAGGAAGAGTGGACTGGGGAGGGGGAGAGGAGAGGGAAAAGGGATGAGAGGGGAAGCTTTTATCAGGAGGTAAAATAAATACAAAGTTCATTAATAAAATATTATATTAAAATTCTTGCAATCTATTACAATTCATGACTTTCAAGAAGTTAATAAATATCTTAATATGTTGTCCCTATAAACAAAACCAAATAAGCAACTTAGGGAAATGAATAATTATTCTTAAAAACATAGAAAGGAAAGTATCCTATCGAAAACATAAATCACATAAATAAACAAAGTAAAAGCAAACAAAATTCTATCATTTATGAAAAAGGAAGTTTGTTAAATGTCATATTTTATATTATTTTTCCAAACAAGACAAACATCTCACAAACAATTGTCGAGAAGGATCGTGAGACTCAGCAGCTGGTACCATCCTTTTCCTCGCTGCCTCTAAAGAGGAGCTAACTCAGGAGTTAATCCATGAGAATCATATTCTGGGGAGACCATTTTCATACCCCCAAATGTCTGCTCTGCAAACATCTGTATATAATCTTCTCATTGAGTTGATGCCATTGTGAGGGGCACGACTGTTTGCAGACATATGTATATAATCTTCTAAGTGAGTTGATGTTATTGTGAGAGACAAGAAAATTTGGAGGACACACAAGAGGGAAACAACCCTAATGCTGAGAAACTCTATGCATATAATAAATTAAATGCCTGATCAGGTTCTGTAAACAATGTAATAATAAAGAACATTTTGGGAATGTGAATGGTTATAACCTGATAGGGCTGAGGATATCAGGATTTATTTTATTTTGCTAGTTAAGGATGGAATTGTTAAGATAAGCAAATGTCCTTACTTTTTATGGATAAAGAATACATATTCAGGGAAGAAATACTATTCAACATTTTTCTAATATGTCAGTAAGAAGCTAGTTATCTACTCCCACATTCAGCTGTGGAACTCACTGTTTATCTATTACCCTTCCTGATCCTGTTCAAGTCTCAGCAGGAGGCATCACTTCGTCCATTCATTGTTACACTTGCCCCAGGTTGTATCTATCAAACCTGACACAGGGTCTTGGAATAAATATTGACATAAGATAAAGAAGTGTGGAGGAAGGGCAAAAGCGTCGCCTAGTTTTCTGGCCAGTTTAACCAGTCAAGAGCACAGAGAGGGTGAATGCACGCATATCTGTCAGTGCTCAACTCACTTTCTCCATTCACCAGGACCCAAACCCAAAGAACGGAGCTGCCTAAGTGGACTGGGTCTTTCCACATTGCTTAACATAATCAAGACAATCACCCACAGGAATGCCCACAAGCCAACCTGACTATAATTCCTCATTGAGACTCTCTTCTAGATGATTCCAATGTGATTCTAGACGGTGTCAAGTTGACAGTTAAAACTGGGCACCAGACAGGATGAGATAAGAGCACAAAAAGAAAGACGACAGGAAATAACAAGCACTGTGCAAGTGAGAAGTAAATGCTAAAGAAACCAAAGATAACCGTGTAGGGAAATAAATGTAGAGTGAACACAGAGCCAGAGTTCTCCATTGCACGTCCTGTGTCCGTCCAGAAACACATTCTGAAACAACAAGGGACAAGTCCTCTAGGGAAGAGACAATAGAAGAAGAAAGCACTTGTCCAAATCTCTAATGAGTCAAGAGTTTAAGGCTAAGGGAAGAGGAGGCTCATGTGAGAAACACTTGGAAATGGTCATGTGAGGAACTGTCTTAACCTGCAGGATCCCACTCCATTCCCAGGTTTAGTCATTCTAAAGAATGCTTTGCAGCTTACATTCCACTTCATATTATGTATCCTGTCACTTACTCATAAATACAGATAGCAGCCACCTTGACAACATATATTATATAGAATAGCTGACAGAGGATCATGTAATCTACACAAAAATTTCTCTCTCTCTCTCTCTCTCTCTCTCTCTCTCTCTCTCTCTCCTCTCTCAGCTCTGAGTCTTTCAAGATTTTTCTTCACATTACCTTGACATTTGCTACTTTATTCAGACACAAAAGTTCAAGGACCTCATTAATCCGCCTTCTTTTTTCATCTCTTGTCATAGTCATTGGCAGTCGAAGAGCTGCTGAGAACTCTATGTTGTCTCTCACAGTCACCATGCGCATCACCACGTCATTCTTAAGGTTAAATGGAATTTTAAATTTAATTACAGATAGTTATTAGTAAGGCCATCACTCTAATACATGTAACCTAGTCACATATAAAGCACATCCACTGTAGTGCTCTACTTAAAAATATTCTTTCAATGTTACTGATTTCAATAGAAAGCCTGATGCAATCATTTTCACCCCTTCCCATTTGCCTTCCAAGTAGAGCACAGGGGTTTTGGTGACTATTACCAGAAATTATTTCTATAAGGCATCTTCTAAGTAGTGGAGAGAGATGAAGAAAAGGCAAAATTAGACAACAGTAGCCCTCTGTAGAATTAAATTACAGCTGAAATTATTAATATTGCGCCCCGTATTTCTTACTCCAATCCCTTCCCATCTTCCTATTTAACATTGCCAACCTCAGGATAATGAGTTATTGTGAAAAGTCAGTGTAGAGAAAGTCCGGTCTATAAATATGTCATGTAATGAACTGGAAACACACAAATCCATAAGCTGAACTTCTAACCATATAGAATCAGGGGAAAACTAAAATTATAAACCCAGCAGGACTTACTTGTGGCACATAACCAGAAGTACATGTGAAATTAGCAGGTCTAGGTTTTCCATTTATCAAAATATCTCCCGATAATCCACGTGGACTTTTCCTTGCAGCTAAGACATCTAATAACCTACAAGGATCACATATGTTGTGTGGTTTACTTCCTCCGTTCAGTAACAGCTATCAGCTTTCAGATACTGAGCATAAAAATTCTGCATATCCTAAGTTGATCTGAAATATCTCACACACACACACACACACACACACACACACACACAATCCTTTCTGTTCAGTATGTGCTTGTGCTCTAACACAGCCCAGAATTATGAATGCAAGACACGATCTGTATGTCCTTTGAAACTCAAACTGGTAACGTGCTGCTCTAATTTGAGAATTATTTCTGGTGATGTTTTCTTGTCCCTAGACAACTTCTGCTTCACCTTCCCAATTTTAATGGTATCTTGACACATTAAGTAATAATAATATGACTCAACACCACATGCCAGTCACTCTATTATTTACTATCAGTAAAGTGACCTAGGAAGACTTCCTGTTCTTGGTATAAAATCAGAATGCATCCTCCTGCACGTTATCCACAGCACACAGGACAGGAGTAGATATACCCACATAACTTAAATAAGTCCCATAGAAGTGATTTTTACAGCGCAGAAACTGGATGCAAAGAGCTTGCATTTGTTGTCCGTCATACTCACAAAGATCTGCTCCCATCTTGAGGTCCCATGATGGCATTGAGGCCAGGTTTCATGATCCCACTGTAAATACAAAATCACACTGGTTGATTTCCCTGTTTAAAAGAAGTTATATTCATTTAGGGTCTACACTGAATATGATATTGAAGTTGGGTGAAATTGCAAACAGAAAATAAACACAAACTCCTAAGAAAAAAATTAAATATTAGTAGAAGTCTATTATCTTAAAAGATGTTGAATTCTAGTGGTGTCTTGGCAGAAAATGCCTCAGATATCACAAAACAATTTTTATTTATTATTTAAGAATTTGTCTTTTTTGAAACATGATGCATCTAAGTTCTGTGTCCTTGAAGCAAGTAGCAGGCTTTCAGGAGGACTCCATTACACACATGGCCTTTTTGTGCCCAGTATATAACAGTTTCTTGCAAATGTTTGATGAGCACCGTCTTCATATAACACTGCTTGTTGCCTTGGAGACCTCATCACAAGAACGCTATGATACATGGGATATCAGTTACAGTGCTGCTATTATTAAAATAAAATCAAACCAAAATCAATACATCTCAAGTAGAAATCTAAAGACTAGAAAGAAGCACTTAGAAGACAGGAGAGCGTTGCCAAGTTTAACACTCAAAACAAAACAAAACACCATCTTAATCAAAATAGAAAAGCTAAATACACACGCAAAAATGATGATATTCCTCCCTGATAAAGAGATTAGAATATGCTCAGTTTAGGATTGGGAGACATTCCTCAAGTAGAGGTCATTATTTACAAGTGAATAAGTACAGCATAAAAACAAATTATGTCCAAAAATTAATTGGTTAATTCAGAGTAGTGAATATCCAGATTGAAAAAGGTATATTCTTATAGAAAGCATAGCTATGTTCCCATTTCTTATTTAATATTCAGACAGTATCATACTCAGAAAACCCTTTGCCCTGCCCATTTCCCTCATAGTAAGAAAATGATGGAAGTTGTAGGCTGAGGTGCAGAAACGACCAGTGCCCAATAATAAAGATTATGGTTGGGATCAGGAGGAAGAGTCTACACAGACTGCGTGGGGAGATCTTGGCATGTGTGCTCTGTCCTCAAATTTGATTGTAAATTTGGTTCTCTATGTCACGGAACAATGTGTGGAATGTTGGCTTTAGCTCTGTTTTGCTCTTAATGAAATTTGAGCAAATATTTGAGGGCCCGTACTTTCTGCTGTTAGGACTTCCTCATTGCTTCCATCTCGTCACTGATAACTGATCCAGTCAGTCTGTCATTAACTTTCAGTTCAGTTTTTGGAGGGCACGTATGTATACATGTGTACACAGTTCCTTAATATTTTCAAATTTCTAGGAATTAAATTTTCAGTATCCTCTATCATCCTTTGATTTTATCAGTAGATCTTTGATGTTATGTTTTTCATTCCAAATTTTATTGAATTAAAATAATTTCTTGGTTTTTTTGTTATATGTCTATGGGTTTGTCAGGGCTGTTTGTGTTTCCAATGAACCAGCTTTTGTGCCATTCATCCATTGTGTTGTTCTTTAGTCTCCATCACATTAACTTCACTGTGATCGTGAATCTATCTGTATAACAAGGTGAGGCTGGGAAGGGTTCATTGGGTGAAGTGCTTGCTGTGCGAGGGTGAGGACCTAAGTTAAACCTCTAAAATTCACATAAAGTTGGGTGCAGTGATGGCACCTGTAACTCCATGCTCTATGGAGAGATGGGAGACAGAGGTAGGAGAATTACAGGACTCTCATGGGTAGCTTGCCTGGCATACACTGTAGTGAGCAATGAGGGACTCTGTCTGCAACAAGGAAGAAGGATCCGTGCTCAAGGTTGTCCTCTGACAGTCTTGTGCCACAGGTGTGTCACACATCTGTACATGTGAACATGCACACACATAGACTTATACATACCCCAACAGATACAGACACATACACATACATCATACACTTATACACACACAAACAGATGTAGACATATACACACACATACACTCATACACATACATAAACAGATATATACACATACATACACAATATACTTATACACAAATATGAACAGATATATACACATACACACATAGTACAATTATACACACACATGAACAGATATATATTTGCATACACAGACATGTGTACACACACTAACACATGCATACACATAAATGTACACACACATACATACAAAAAAGATTGAAAATAGAAGAAATTTAAATCTGTGTTTGTTGAAAACCTTGTTCAATATACTGGTTTATTTACTACATGTACATACTTCATATTTGATAGTCTTTCTATGACACATGTTTTTTTACAAAATGCAAAGCCACTCTGAACTGTTTCCCGATAGCTGATGTTATGGAAACTCAACACAGCCTCTCCAGTCAATGTGTTCTGGTCACTGGTGTCCATTCCAGGAAGGTCACTCGGATTGCTTTCTATCATTGGGACTGTAACAGGGTCACTATTGGACGCCATCTCCAGAGGTTCTTCCTTCCTGTAGAAGGAACAGCAAGGGTAAGTTGATGGTCAACACAAACAAGATTACTATATAACACAGCACACTTCAGGATTGTTTTTTAACTATGCACTCACAGGCAGATTCCTTCCTCAAGAACAGTTCATATGGCTGTGATTACTTAAGTACCCAATGAGAAGCAGACATAACTGAGGACATAGATTCCTCTTAGATGACAAATTCCTAAGTGGGAAAAAAAGCTCTAAAGAGTACAGTAAAAATGTTCTTCACAATTCATAAAGCAAGAAGGAGAAAGATGAGAGGGAAGATTTGTCTTATTTCAAAAGCATATTATGATACACTATAAGTTCAGAGGCAGAAATATGACAACCGTTACCACATCTCTTCCCTCTCTCTCTCTCTCTCTCTCTCTCTCTCTCTCTCTGTGTGTGTGTGTGTGTGTGTGTGTGTGTGTGTGTGTGTGTGTGTGTGTGTGTTTGTAGCGGTAGAAAGAGAGAGAGAGAGAGATTTGGTCAACAAACATAATAAGTTGGACTTGCACAGCGATGAGTAGACACTTCTGACTATTTACAGCTTCAGACTGCACCTTTGGTCATCAGGCATCTTCAGACAGCAAAGGAGACGAACTGCTGACAACGACAGCATCGCTACTGTAACAGGTAGGTTTAAATTCTACGAAGACTTAGATTTTAAAATGACAGTGATTAAGGACAACAAATCAGTAGCTAAACACTTTAAAACTTTAAAGGAAACAAAATACAAATGAAATTTAAATGTCTCATTTCACAAGTTATTAATGTCTGCTTTAATTGAAGATCTTTAGTGATCTAAGCTTATGAAACACTTTTAAATACTATCTTCAACGCAGCTGGTTTTCCTTTCAAATAAATGACATCTTGGGTGGGGAGCTCCTGCCTGTGAGGGTCCAGCTGCTCAGGCAAGCCTCCTCCAGGAGCGTCCTTAAAGCAGACAGGGTGGGAGCAGCTGTGTGAAGAGCTCTGATGACAACCAAAGCAGCCAGGGTTGAGGGACAGCAGCAGTGAAGCCAGCCACTCCCCAATCTGCCTTCCCTCCTGCCACAAGCCATAAAACCTCCCAAGCACAGGCCAAACTCCAGGAAAGGCAAGAAAACAAAACCTGCTAAACACATCTACAAAAAGACCTGTTATTCTTGAAGATTATTAGCAGTCTGTCGCCAAGCAAAGTTGGATCCTCAGAACAATGACATGCTCTAAACCCTGTGCCTTGAGATCCAGAAGGTTTAGGCTTTGGGAATTAGGACTATGGGGCTAAAGCTCTGCACATCAGCTCTACTCAGACATTACTGGAAGAATGTTAAACTCCTCCTGTTCAAAAAATGTCATCTGAAATTTCAATTATGAATTTCTAGGCATGGGGTAAACAAGCCTAAAGATTCCTAAAGTGAGAACCTAGAAGGAGGTTCACAAGTATCCCAGACTGCAATTTTCAATCATTAATAATACGACAATTGGTTGCTACATTCAAAGACAGAGAGAAACGAATTACAGATTTCTTATCACAAGACACAAAATCTATTTTCAAAACGATCATAATTAAGATTTCAAAAATGCATTTAGTAACCACTTTAACACTGATAGCTCAAGAAGGAGAACTAGACAAACAAGACTGATACTGAAATGAAATCATTCTGAATGAGAATAATCATAAGAAAAAAGAATCCCCAAGGTGAGAAGAAAGAGTGTTACACAGGAGCATAAGGCATCTACAGGACTTGACGAAAGGGTATGAAGTTCTTATACCAGAACAGATGAGACGGGAGACAGTGCAGAAGACAACAGCACATGGAGGAACACGGGCCTGGGCCTGAGAGCACAGGTCAGTGCACGTTCAGCATGTGTAGGCCAGGGAGCGACTCCAAGGAGAAACAGGTGCCTGGGTGATGACAGGCTGGCAGGAGAGACTTAGCACTCTCCAGACACTAATTCCGCAGGGGTATTTGTAAATGGATGTTTCCTGTCCCCACTGCCCAGTCCCAAATAGACGACTGAGAGGCTGAATATGAATTACAAATTCTCAGTTGATAACTCTGGCTTGTTAGTAGGCACCTTTACATTTAAATTAACCCGTATTTCTATTTATGCTTTGCCATGTTGCTCACGACTTGTTACCTCATTTTTTACACAGCCTCCTTGCTCAGCAGCTGACTGGCTTCTCTCCTGACTCTTCCTTTCTTCTTCCCGTCATCCTCAGTTTGGTTTTCCCAACCAACTTTCTGCCCAGTTACTGGCCTGTGAGGTTTTTATTAACCGGTGAGAGTATTATACATTCATAGTGTAGAAGAGGATTGTTCCACTGCAATTATTTGACCTGACTCTGTCTCCTCCTGTATGGCAGAGTGGTACTGGGAATGAATGCACTGCCATAAGGATGACGTGTGAAAAACATGGATGAATACACGTATGTCATCCACATGACAGATGTTTGAAGAACAATGCATTCATAAGGTGCATCAACTTTCTTGCCTTTCATTTCCCAGCACTTTTGTTTCTTCTGAGGCTTGTGGCTTTTGGCAAGTGTAAACTGGTTCCTTCTGATCCTATGACCAACATTGTCTCTCAGATCTCAGACTGATTGAGCACGATACACAGTGTCACCCATTGTAACATGAGGGCCGGCTTGTTGGGGTCTCTGTCCCCCCCGGTACCCCACAGCCGGCAACTCCCAACGAAAATCAATCACACAGAGATCTCTATAAGTTATAAAGCTGATTGGCCCATTAGGTCAGGCTACTTATTAGTTCTTTTGACTTATCTTAACCCATTATTCTGATCTATGTTAGCCACATGGCTTGGTACCTTTTTCAGCTGTCAGCTTACATGTTGCCTCTTCAGTGGCCTGCGCAGTAATGGCAGAGGAACCTCCCTGCTTCTCAGAATTCTCCTGTTCTCATTGCATCACTTCTACCTCCTGTCTGGTTTTCCCGCCTATACTGCCTGTCTGGCCAATCAGCGTTTTATTAAAATATGATTGACAGAATACAGGCAATTCTCCCATACCAACCCAGAAAGACTTACAGTGGTGCAAGGGTTAAAGCAGAGCTGTGGAAGGGAGAACAGAGCTGACACACATGCAGCAGAGAGAGCTGTTCTGGAACAGGGTGCACAATAAATACTCCATTGGTTCAAGGCACAGTGTCAGTTCAAGATAGAGAGATGGGTCATGGGGCAGATTGCTCCAAAGCACAGAGCTGATTCTAAGCAGAAGGGGTTTGAGCAAATGGGAGCTCAAGTGGAACACTTCAATTAGGGCTGATCATGTGAGCAGACATTCTGGGACATAGATGAGAGTTTGTTGTCTTTTTTTTTTTTGAATGACACATACAACAGATGGCCTGATGATGGCTCAGTGGCTATGATCCAAGTGAGGGCCTTGCAGCGCTCATTGTTCTGGTGTTTAGGACAAGCACACAAGCTTGGTTTCTTGAACAAGGTCTTCAAACATCCATGGGTCTAGCTGTTCCTGGCTTAATATTTTTATAGGTAGGAATAATTTGTTTGTATTACTAAGTTATCTATAAACATATATTTACTTTCTGGCTGGACACTTGCACACATAAGATACGGAGTCATTTTTGCCTCAGTATTTGCTTTCAAAACGAAACAAACCACTGCTGTATAATGGAGTTACTCAGGGCAAGGCCCACTCTGAAAACTCCTGTCCTATGTAACACAAAGGAACACAGATGGGCACAGCCTGAGCTCTACACACCCCATCTCTCACAGTGCTAGAACCAGGAGCTTCTGTTCTCTGAGTCTGAGCTGTGGTGTGATCCAAAATCATCTAGCACGTGTCATGGTGCCCTGGGATGTCCTGGTGGGTAGGCAGCCATGATGGACAGTAGTGCAGGAGGGAGTGACTGAGACACACTCCTAGCTAAGGCCGTGGAGGCATGAGGACAGGCAGCCCTGCCTCCTGTAACCAGAATGACATGGCTCCTCTGGGTGACTGCTGAGCCCGAAAGTTCTGAGCAGGTTTCTGGCAGATTCTTTGGTTTCTGAAATTGACTCATGGCGCAAATTTGTGTGCAGCAGACGGGCTGAGAGCTGGGAACCCAAGTGAAAGGATTACTGAATTTCCACAGCTTCTTCCTTGTTGTATAGTGGTTTGCTGCTGGATAGGATTTGAAAATGCTTAGGCAAAGAGCTCAGCTCCCAGAACTTCTCTCCACTGTGGAACCCCATGCTCTGTTTGTCATATCCACTTCTCCAAAGTGTTGATCATATCTAACTATAAAAATAACCAGGCAAGCTTAAAGTCTATAAATATAATTTATTTATTATAAGGGGAAAACTCATGCCACAGGAACGGAAGATCCAGGCTCTGCTCGACAGCAGGAGAAGCTATACAGAGAGTGCACCTGGGTGGTGCACAGGTTTTTATCTCTTGGTCCCAGAAGGCCATGCCTAAACTAGATTCCACCTCTTAAAGATTATTGGCTTACAAGGATTTCCCCATCACCAAAGCATCCAGGAGACACTGCTTCATTTAGACAGACCCACAAACAGAAGTGGCAACCTGGACCACAGCCCACAGAGACCCCTCGTGTTAGCCATGGAGAAGACTATTCAAAGATGGGAGGGCTTTAGTGTGAATGGTATTTTGTTTCTATTTTTTTTTAAAGGTCTTACTCTTTTCTCTTATTCTCCTTTTCTTTTTGCTAATCTTACTTACTATACATTTCAGTTGTTGTTGTTGTTTATTTGAGACAGGGTTTCTCTCTGTATCACTGGCTGTCCTTAAACTCACTCTATATACTAGGCTGACCTCGAACTCAGAGATCCACCTGCCTCTGTCTCCTGAGTACTGGGATTAAAGTCATGTACCCCCACTTTCTGTTCATTATTTCATTATTTCCATTATGAGTATTGTAGGAAGTTGGCTCTGGTGTTGTTATCATGGTTTATTCTGCACTCTGATCAGTGCCCTCTGTAGAAAGAAGGTTACTGTACAAATCCTCACATCAGTGTGCAAACCATATTCACTCCCACAGGTGCACAAACTACAACAACAAAACACAAGTATATGAGGAAGCAAAAGTTTCTCAAAAGATCATAACTTGTCAGCAACTGAATCCAAAGGTATTTAAATGGATAGAGTGCTGAAGAAATTATTCAGGAGGTTTAGTTACAAAGGATTGCAACTTCAAAAAGATAGACAGCTGAAGGAAATAAGTGAAACGATACAGGATATGTGCAATAAACAGAGAATTTTTAAAAATGTAAATGTTGGAAAAATTTGCAGATAAACTTTTAAATATTCAGGAGAAACCACCACCAACAGACTAAATTAACTGAAAGATAAAACTACCAAGATTCTAAATACAAGGTTAATAAGTTACTGCATTCTTCTTTATTTGAGAGGAATAAAAAAAACTTATGATGATCCTAGAACATGACAGGCAGACCATACAGAAATATTTTTATTTGAATAGAATGCTGAAATACAGACTAAAGGCATAGAAAACCTATTCATTCAAGCAGTATTCTAAAATTCCCTGTAACTGTTGAGAGATGAGATCATCTAGGTACAGAGGTAATTTAGACTACCACATAGATAGGACCAGAAAATAATCTTGTCATATCACACTGCTTGTAAAATTCAAAGAGGACAGAACAAAAAAATAATGCTGGAAATAATTATGGAGACCAGTCAAGTTATTGGCATGGACCTGATTGGAAAACAAATCAGAAAAAAACAGCATGTTCCTTGACAGAAAAGCTAAAAGCCAGAGTGTGCAATTGTGTATTTTGAGTCCTCAAAGAAAATAACTGACAACCAATGTGACTACATGCAAATTTATCCTTTATAAACACCTTCAAGATGAACACAGCTAAAGCAGTGCATGACCACGGAGGCAGCAGTGAAGAAGACACTCACAGGAAAATAAAATAACAAAGGAAGAAGAGCTACAATTACAAGATCTCAGGAGAAAATAACCCCTGTAGTTCAAAGAAATCAACAGCAGTAACTCAAGAAGTGTGCTGGTTAGCTTTTGTCAGCTTGACACACGCTGGAGTCATCTGGGAAGAAGAATCCTCCATTGAGGAATTGCCTGCATTGGATTGACAAGTCTGTGTGACATTTTCTTTGATGACTGATGTGGGGGGCCCAGCTCACTTTAGGGTCCTGGGTTGGTTAAGAAAGCAGGCTGCTCAAACATGAGAAGCAACGAGTGAGCCACGTTTCTCTATGGTCTCTGATTCAGTTCTTGCCTGAGTTCCTGCCTTGGCTTCTTTCAGTCGTGGGTTGTGATGTGAAAATGTAAGCCAAATAAACTTTTCCCTCCCCAAGTAACTTTTGATCATAATGTTTTATCACAGGAATCGAAAGCAAAATGCCAATGAGCCGGCAAACATCTAAGATGAGAGAGAAAGAAAATATCACATAACAATTGAAACCAAATCAGAAAATCAGAAGGTGAAGAGAAGAGAACCCACCAAATTATAAGATTTCATTCAGTACGAACTTTTGTTTTGTTTTGTTTTGTTTTTTGAGACAGGGTTTCTCTGTAGCTTTGGAGCCTGTCCTGCAACCCACTCTGTAGACCAGGCTGGCCTCAAACTCATGGAGATCCACCTGCCTCTGCCTCCCAACCGCTGGTATTAAAAACGTACACCACCACTGCTCAGCCAGCAAACATTTTAACAGTAACCTAAATATAACTGGTCTCAATTCTGGAATAAAAGTAGAAAACAATAACAATTGTTTACTGCAGCGGGAAACTCAACAAGCTGGCAACACATATGAAGACTGAAAGTGGAAGGATGGAAAACGGCATTTTAAGCAAATAGACTGGAAATCTCCACTCCTTCCTGACAAAGCAGATTTCCAGCCAAAGGTAGGAAAAATAAAGATAACCACATGTTAGTAATTGGAACACTCCACAGACTTTTAACAAATCAAAAAGGTAATTTCTTGTATTCTATCAGATCATAATGGAATTGTAGAAAAAGTCAACAGCAAGAGAAAGCACAGAAACACATGATGAAAGAACACGGTGTTTTTTTGCAAGCATGGTCCAGCATATGCAAATTAGTAAAAGGAATTCAGCACATAACATGATCAGGAATAAAACTGATATCCTAATCTTAATAAATGGGGGAAGTCCTTAAAAAGCTAAACTCATTCTTGATTTCAGGCCTGAACAAACCAGGAAGAGAAAACTTACTCCTGCCTACACACAAGAAAGTGCACTGTGATAAGCCTACCAACAGCAATATACTGAATAGGGAATAACTTGAATCACTTTCTCAAAATGCAGGATAGACTAGGAGTGACCAATTCTCAACTATTATTTAATACAGAGCTTGGATCTTCAGAGAAATAAAATGAGAGAAGAAAAAGAGTTTTACAAACAGGTAAGAAAGAAGTCGAATTACCCTACTTGTGAATGAAATGCTTTTATATTTAAAATCCCACTGAGTTGAAAGAGCGCTTGCCTAGCATATGAAAGGCTCTGGATTTGATCCTCTGAACCACATACCAGAAAAAGGACTCTGAAAACCACTCAGGGTCCAGCAAGATGTCTCTGCAGGTAAATGTGCTGGAAGCACAAGATTGGTGATCTGAGTTCAGTCAAAGAACACCATCAAAAGAAGAATACCTTTGTAATCAGAGCACAGGAGATCATCTGGAAGCTGAAGAACCAGCTACCCTGGAGTTCCCAGCATGGAACAAAGCACAGGAGAGACTGACTCAAGAAGTTAGAAGAAAATAACTGACTCTCAAAAGTTATCCTGTGGTCTCTACACACATTGAACCTCCTCCTAGTAATCTCCTCTCCTCCTGGCGCCCTTAACTGTGCCCCCCCCCCCCCGGGGGGCCCCCCCCCCCCCCCCCCCCCCCACACTGAAAATACCCAGAGAAACTGTGGGAAAGCATCTCCGGATTAAATAAGCAGAGCACATTATGGAAATATGCTTGCACACCTCTGGACATTCCCATAGCCACACAACTGTGCTCCGTAAGTCGGTGAGGTGTGTGACACTAATTATATTATAAGAAAGCCATTCCTGCCCAGCCACACTCACTGCTGTCAGATGCAGGGGAAGAGGAGCCTCTCAGGATGCTGCTCAGCTTGTCCTCATCCTCTGCCTGCATCAGGAATTTCAAGGAAGGAAGGTGAGCCTGGGCGGAGCCACAAGAGAGGAGTGGAGCTATTGCCACCTGGTGGTAAATTGGGATTCTTGTGTACTAGGTTGTCCTGAAGTCTCCAGTCTGCCCTGAGCCCTAAGTCAGGACCACATCAACTGGATGTTGGGAATACAGGCCTCAGAAAGAGAAAAAAAAAATGAAAGCAAAGGCATCTGCTTGTATGTCTGTCTGTATGTATGTGTGTCTCTCTGTATTTTTTCTTCCTTTTTTTAGTAGATTGTAGTGGAAGTAATAGACAGGAGAATATACACTTAACACAGCAAGGGACAAACAGGGGGGTCAGGACAGTCAAGGGAATGGCTTCTTAAATGCCAGCGTTGTTAAATATTTTGATTTATAGCTTCATTTTGTTTCTGAAGAGACCAATTGAGAAATAATCCACTATTCACAATTGTAAGCCCTATAACTGAGAAGCTTAGGCAGGAGAATTTGGGCTATGGGTGCCTGAGCTAAATATAGAACTCTATCCCTAAAGAATAAGAAGAGGGAAGGTGTGACTACGTATAGACTGTTAACCTGCAGTCAGTGTGTGCAGTGTAGGACACTTCATGGACCAGAAAGTTAATGTTGAAAAGTAAGTCAGTTTCATACTCTATCAGTCTTTTTATCCTTCTAGCATGAGTGGGGGAGGGTAACAGGAGCCCTCCCCCTTCAGCTGAGGAGATGCAGACAGGTGATGACTGCCAGGAGAGACAGGAGAGGGAAAGTCGGTTTTCTCCAGGAGTGCGTCCTTGGTGTGTAGACTATCCAGGGGATTATTCTACTCCCATGTGTTCATGGGCAGCACTGACTGGACTCAGCGGGTTATTAAAGAAGGGGATGGAGAGGAAGGGAGGGAGGGGAGGGGAGGGGAGGGGAGAAGGAAGGGGAGGAAAGGGGTGAGGAGAGGGGAAGGAGGGAGGAGAGGGGGAGGGGAAGGGAAGCAGAGTGGAGGGAAGGGAAGGGAGGGGAGGGAAGGGGAAAGGAATGGAAGGGAGAAGGGAAGAGAAGGGAGAAGGGAAAAAACAAGCAGTTGTTGTTAAAAGTTTATCAGAATATTATTAATGTTAAAATTTAAACTTTTGAAATCTTATTATCTTTGTCATTACTCAAGCCTTTTAATCTCCAGACCTTCATAACTTGCCTTTACATATCACAATAACTTGCATTTTACATACTCTTTCTCTTTCCAAAATTATTTTACACATCCCCATACTTAGAAAATCTTTACATATAACATCATATAAACTTTACTGATTTACTCAAACCTAAACTTCTGAATTTTATATCTCAAACTACTCCTTTAGACCCAAAATAAAACTTACGGAAACCTCAGGGCATACTTTTTAATCTTTTCAGCATAACTTTTGACCTATCTTAAAATTTTTGAACCCTGTTTTATTTATTTTTCTTAACTTGCATATTTTCCTCAAGCATCATTCTCTCAAATGGAAACGAAAGTTCTTAACCAAAAATTCAATATATAAGGGGACGCTTAATCAGAAATACAATATATGAGAAGAATGGTAATTATGAATCCTTTATAATGTATCAAGAGACAATTTAGGCAGTGTAGACAGACCAAAATGGCTGCTTTATGGGTGAAGAAAAGAGCAAAAAGTGTATTTTAACTGTTATGAAAACAACAAAAAACACGGATAACATGTAAGCTCAGATGTTTTTAAAAATCAGTTTAAAAAGACAGTTACATTGTGGCTATGTTTATATCTATACCTGTAAGGTAGATGGTGTTTAATAAGACAGTTAGACAGCTGAAGAAATGGTCCTCGTGTTAGGATGAGAGACTTCCAGAGTTCAATGAAAACTGTAGGATTTAACTTAAAGAGCAGCAGCAATGAGCTTTTTCTGGGCTGGCCGGCTGGGAGGGTCTGAGAAGTGCAGGCTGCTGAGTCTGTAGACAGCACAGAGTAGGGGGATGGGCAAACCACAGCAGTGTGGGAGATGCAGAGGACAGAGAAGGGAGGAGAGCTGAATTCATGAAGCGCATTTCTGCAGTTCAACTGATGTCTCCAAAACAACTGAGAAGCCCTGTAGAATTTTTCCAAATCGACGGAGAGAGCGTCTTCTCGCAGGGATTTGTCTGGGATGGGCTAACCGGAAGTTCTGTACCTGGCCACATATGTTTTGTAAATAAACCAGGAGCTCAGGCAGCCTCATCCACATAGAAAGAGAAGGAGAGACAAAATTTTAGTGCATCCATTCGCCAACAGAGAAATACTTTATGAGATACTGAGAAATCCTTTGAGTTTATAAATCAGCTTGAGGGGTTTGATAGCTGTAGACACAGGCTCTGTCTGTCCTTCTGTCAGCAAAGCCTGCTCTGCATTTTAAATGAGGAGCAGCAGTGGCATCTGAGCTCCAGGCAGCAAGACAGTTTCAGGAGTTCTTAGGGCAAAATTTAACCATTTAGTCTCTAGGAGTCATAGTAAAGCAAGTTGTTTGGAATAGGCAGAGATCTAAACTGCCAGCTCGGAAATCGGGGAGAACGTGGCAAAAATATGATTGACCCTTATTTGCACTCTCAGGTGTTCTTTATAAGTGGCTGGGTTAGAAGGAACAAGGAACAACGCTTAAAAGGCACTGAGGGAATCCGGTTTGATCACGTGCTCGTTCAGTCCCAGTCCAGCTGGCCTTGGTGAGCTCTCATTCGATAAGTCCCCATGTATCAGTGGGTGAACGCACTACTCGCGGTACTGATTTCCTTTTTCATGTTCTCCCTCCTTCTGCTCCTCATTTGGACCTTGGGGGGCTCAGTCCAGAGCTCCAATGTGGGTCTCCGTCTCTATCGCCATCCATCGTCGGATGAAATATGATCAAATCGGAGTCTCTGAATGTGGCTGACATGGGGGCTGACTGAGAAGCCATTTACAATGGCACTGGGTCTTGTTTCATCTGCGTGTACTGGCTGTTTGGGATCCTAGTCTGTTTGGATGCTCACATTCCTAGACCTGGAGGGAGGGGGAGGAACTTAAACTTCCCACAGGGCAGGAAACCCTGACTGCTCTTTGGACTGGAGAGGGAGGAGGAGAGAGAGTGGGGGTGAAGGACCCCAACTTCATTGGGGTCACAGTTAAAACTATGGTTTTAACTTTAACCACAGTTATAACGCTCTGCAAAGGTTTTCAGATAGCAAGCTCCATTAAGGCCTCCGGAGTCAGGGCCTCCAGAGTGCTGAACAAATAACAGGCTTAATTCAGGACCTCCAGAATGCTAAAGCAAAGATACTTGAAGTTAGAGCAGGGCAGCCTTATCTGGCTGCAAGACAGGGATTTATGATCTGGCCATAGAAACAAAGAGAGGATTGCGAGGCCTGAGTCACGTAAAGCGGGGCTCCCACGAGTCAGGGGCTGTGCGATCAGACATCTAGTCGCCAGCCAAGCTAGGAAGGCAGGAAGAGATAAGGAAAACAGGTAGGACAACCCCCTCCTTGGTATTTAGGTAAAAGGTCAGGAATGTGCCACTCAGCTTAGCCTTATTTGAACTGACCAATGAAATGAAAGCTTTTCTGCTTCTGTACCCGCGCTTTTGCTCCCCTATAAAAACCCCTCATCCCCAACCTGCAGGCGCGCAAGTCCTCCGAGAGACTTTGCCGCCCACAGGTGCCTGTGTATCCCCAACCAATAAACCTCCTGCTGCTTGCATCCGGCTGCGTGTTTTCGACTGATCTTTGGGTTTGGGGTCTCCCCCGAGGGAAGACGCCCAGCGGGGAGTCTTTCAGGGGGAATGGGAGGGGAGGGTATGGGGAAGAGGGGAGGAAGTGGAAATTTTTATAAACAAACAAATAAATAAATAAATATAAAAAAAGGCACTGAGGGGAATTCATTCATCTAAACAAAGGATTTATTTCCTTCATGCCAGTAGGGACCTACTGGTGAGCATTTGGTCAGAAATGAGACTGCAGCCCCCTGACACCCCTATAAACAAGAAGTCTGGGGTGTCTGGTGTGGAAGCCTCACCTCATCCATTTCAAGTCCCCTCCCCTGGGAGTTGCCTTAGTCTGGACTCCATCTTCAGGAAATTCAGCCAAGCAGTAATCCCTAACCAGGGAGGGTCAAGAAAGCCTGCCAAGTGGTGGCCTCTCCCCAGGGTGGGTCAGGACCACTCCCACAGGCTATTTGGGCTGCCCCCGCCCCGAAAAGGAACATGTGGTCTCCCGGTTTTGCATGGTCTCCCATTCTCTCTCTCTCCCCTCGCCATGCTTTTCCCGGGCCACCCAGGAGTACTGCATTAAATATGGGCATCTTTTATTCGGTCTAATTTGCCCTGATTGGAACTATTTGCATCAGCAAAGAGGCTCGCCCTAAGAAATATTCCTAACAGTGAGGACTCTTTAAAGAACTGCTTATTTGGACGTATCTCTGGGACACTTTCAGAAGGGACCTCCTAAGGTGCCCTCCTAAGGGGGGATTAGGGGTGTCCTACTCACTGCTCCCTGGCTCCCTGTAACTTGCATCATTCTCAGGTGAGGGCTAGGCCATAGACGAATGCAAGGGAGATATCCTCACTCGTGGATCTCCCATGACACAACTTCTTCAAACTGGGATGGTTCTGACATGCACTACCTCTTCTCCCTGGATAAACTTGTGTACCTGCTTAGCTAGTTCCTCATTACCTCTGTACCAAGTAAGCAGGATTCTTCATGGTCCAGCCATTTAGACCACTTCAGGACCCAGTTAAGGCCAGTGAAGGAAAATAACTAAGGGGATATAGGGAGAAACAATTTACTCATAGCAATATTTCCTCAGTATGTCTCTTTACTGTTCTCTCTTCCTTGTAGACTGTTTTAAATTTTCTGTCCTATCTATAACTTCTGAGCTTGAATTTTCTGTTTCAATCCTAATTTTAGTTTTAGTTTTCTGCTAACTTCTGCTTCTGTTCCTGCTTCTTCCTTTACCCAATAAGGAAGCAACCAGAGAAGTATAGGCAGTCACAAATTTTTATGAATTACAGGTAAATGTAGACATTTTAGTGGCTCTTCTGTCACAAGCAAGCAGTGGGTGTGTACTCAGTAGGAAAGGTAACAAGACCCCATGGTTTATTAAATCTACATGAAGGAGTCTTTGAGAATTAAGTTTCTCTTCTATAAGAGCCAAGT